CTGTTCCCCCATCCCCGGCAGCTCTGCCCTAGCCACGGGCCGGGGGAGGGCAGGGGGTTTGAAAGCTCTTTAAAGCCTCAGGATATAATCTCTGCTCAGAATAATAATAATAAAAAAAAGAAAAAAGACATAAAAATGCCTTGCCACATCTGCACGAGAAGCTTTCCAATGGCTTGGGCATGGAGCAGCTGGCAAAGGAATAAAGGCTAGGACTGTGGGGGGAAGAAACCACGCTATGGGGCAGCATCTGGGGTGAAGGCAGCCTCAGGAGGAGCTGTGCTGGGGGTCTCAGCTCAGACCATGCCTGGGACCCCCCAAAAATCACCCCATCATTTGCTCCAGCCCCGCTGCCTTTCCTCCACACCTCCCTGCCCAGTCCAGCCATTCCTCACCTGCCATAAAAATCTATTGGAGTAAATGTGATTTTACATAATCTTTCATGTTGTTCTGCTTGATGTTTTACATGCATACACAAAAAAAAAAAAAAAAAAAAAACCCAACCCAACCACAAAAAAAAAAAAAAAACCTGAAGCAAAAACAAGGTCAGACCTTGCTTTGGCTGCCTCGTGTCCCCAGGGAGTATGGGGAGGTAGGGCACTCCCAGCCGGCGCTGGCTGGAGGAGAGGAGGGGACCCCCCGGCTCTGGTCCTGGGCTTGGCTGGAGACCCCTCTTGGGTCTTAAAGCACAAACCTGAGACCGGAGTAATTGGAGAAAACAAAGTAAGTGTTTATTAAAGACAATAAATTACATTCCCTTGAAATACAGTAGATTTCGAGAAAAGTCTTTTGCTTTGCAGGATAGGTGGACCTCACCACCCCAGATAAGTGACTTCTGCAGGGCTGGGGGGGCTCCTGGGATAATATAATTTGGATATTCGGGTTGTCAGAGCCCTGAGGAGCAGAGCAGGCAGGACACCCAGGCTCTGCCTTCGGGGAGGTATCACTGTTTGCAGCCGTGCAACTCTGTCCCTGAAGGTGATTGACTTCTGCTCAGCTGTTTTATTCGACGACTATACCCACGGAGAAGCATGCACAATCAATTAGGCTCCGCTGAGCACCCATAACACCTCATGACACAAATGATCAACGCAGACAGTACCCGCCAGACTCCAGTGCAGGCAGGTTTAGGAAGCAAAAGCCTCAACCCCGATGCTCCAGCAGCAAGACGGAGGTACAGCTGGGCTGGGACAGTGCAATTGGGTGCCTGAGGCTGGGTGAGCAGCGGTGGGCACAGAGAGGTAGTTGCTGGGTGAGAAAGGCACAGCAGAGAGCAGGCGCAGGCAGCATCCCCGACTCCCTGCCTGCTGCCATCACCAACAGCCTGGAGCTACCGGCAGGGTTCTGTGGGTCTGGGCTGTGCATATGCTCAGGGCTCCTCCAGAAGATTTGGGAGGTAGAAGAAACATCCAGCCAAAAAGGCAAGAGATGTTTACAACTGGCAGGATGGGATATTCTGCCAGAGCCCAGTGCCAGGATAAAAATACCCAGCCCATCGCAGCCAGTGGAGGGAATTAGAGTGGAATAACCCGCCCGCCATGGTCAGGGGAGGCTGTGGCAGCAGGAGGTGGGCGCAGGGCTGGGAGGGGACTCTGCCTGTTGGGAAATGAGTTGACACCAGCACCCGGCGAGAGGGGCAGATGGCCCTGCAGACCCACCCGTGGGACCCTCAGGGGGTGGAAGCCCAAGGGTGAGCCCCCAAGGTGGTTACCCCGATGCAGTTGAGACGAAAGCCTCATCTTTCCTCCACCCCACCGATGGCATCTCTTTGCACAGCAGTGCCAGGGCGGTGAGCTGCATCCCGCCGGCTGGCTCCCGGGCATCACTGCAAGGTACAGGCTGGGCCGAGGGAGACAGAGGGCACTCACTTGGCTGCACACACCATCACCCAGCCCGAGCGGGCTCCCAGGCATGGATGACCCCATGCTGGGGGGTAGAGGAGGGCATGCAGGGTTGCGATTACCCACAGGCAGGAATATCCCCATGGCTGCAGCAGCTGTAGGGATATTCCCTGCTGCAGGACTGCAGCCACGAGGCGGGCCGCTTCCCCAGGCCCTTTCCACCAAGCCCCCTCTGAAGGGATCAGAGGGGATAGAGATAGGGACTCACTGCTCCGGACAGGCTCTGCCAGTGCCTCCTTGCCCATGGACTGCGCCTCCCGCATCTACCAGGGGAGAGGAGTGTTTTCCAGCCTGTAAACCCCCGACAAGCACGCTCCAGAGTCCCTCCCAAGTAGCCGTACCTTTATCTGATCTTTCAGGTACTCAGCACGGGCCATCAGGGTCTGGATCTGGTGGAGAGAGAGGAAAGTCTCTTCAAACCCATGCCAATGGGGACACGCTGCTGTCCCACAGCTGGCACTCACCTCTGCGTGGAGCAGCTCCCGTCGCCTCCCTGCAGGCTCCGCTGCAGAGGGAAGAGGGATGTGCCGTCAGATCAGCCACGGGTGCAGGATCCGTCCCTGCCCCGCAGCATCTGCCACAGCCACAACTCACCGGCCAGGAGGAGCAGCAGGTCCCCCAGGCTCTGCTGGTAAAGCTCCAGGGTGTCACCATCATCTTTGCCTTCCTCCTCCTGTAAGTGACCCTGGAGGTCAGGTTCCAGTCGGGGGGATATGCCAGCTCCCTCCCCACCTGGGTTTGCTCTTTCCCCTTCCACTTGAGGCAAGAGGGGACCCCCAAATCCACGCCTCACCTTGGCGATGGCGGCGGAAGCCATTTCCAGCGCAGCGCAGAGCCGAGGCTTGTCCTTGGCCATCTCTGCAAGAGGGGACATTGCATTGGGGAGCACCCCCTTCAGCCTGAAACCCCACTGGGTGCCCCTTTCCTGCTCTGCTGATGCTGGGGGTCCCCAAAAACCACTACCTTTAAGGAGCTCTCTGGCTGGGTTCCCTTGCTGCAGGAGGCTCTTGCTGCTGGAGGTGACCAATGCCTTCAGCTCCTCCGCTCGGGAGATGTACTGCCCCACCTGCCCACAGCAGGGGGGTGAGGGGACCCCCGCCACAGGGGACAGAGGATGGGGGAGCATCTTGCAAGCTAAGCTGGGGGGATGCTGTCCCCCACCTCCCCAGGGATTTTGGCTCACCTTGGCACGGATGGCTTCTTTCCGGCGAGCATCACTTTCATCTGGGGGACAGAGTGACCAAACAGTGGGGTGGGTGGGCTGCAAACTGGCCTCCCCCAGGGTGCTGCCCCCCAATGCTCCCAGCACCACCCAGGACCCATGCAGCCCCCAAAAAGGGTGGACTCACAGTGCAGAGCTGGCACAAAATACTCCAGGGCTTTGCAGTAGAGGGAGAGGGCAGCAGAGGCATCCCCCTCCTGATCCTTCTTCACCGCCTCCACCACCAGGTTGGTCTGGAGGAGACGGGGGGTGGGGCTCAGGGCTCAGCCCCCCCACATGCCCAGGGAGCAGCACCCCAGCACCCCGCTCACCGCCTTGCAGAGGCTCTCGGGGCCAGGGACGTGCTCCATATCCACGAAAGGGTGGGTGAAGAAACTCTCAAAGGAGATGCGTTTCAAAGGGTCCCTCTCCAAGAGCTGTCCTAAGAGATCCCGGCACTCCAGGGAGAGCAGGGGCCGGCTGGGCAGCTGGGAAGGGAAGACGGGCGAGGCCACCAGCCCCACTGCAGCCCCAGGACGGGGACGGGCTGCGAGATCCCACCCAGCTCCGTCCCATCCCACGTTACCTCAACAGCCCGGTTGCTGCGGATCTTCTCCTCCAGCTCAGCAAAGGAGCGGGAGGCAAAGGGTGGCCTCCCGAAAAGCGCTTCTGGGGGGGAGGGCAAAAGGAGCGGTAGGGGGAGATGGAGATGGGGAAACCAGCCCCAAGCCAAGCCCCGGGGGGGGGGCTAGACGCAAACGCACC